AGATTCAGTGGCTCTGTGTCATGACGCGTCATATGTTGACCTGGCTCCTTTAACCATGTATAAGTGACCCCAAAGTCTCAGAAAAATCTCCAAAACGCAGTGTTTTTGGTAGCCTTTTCCTCTATATCTTGTTTCTTCTGAGGAGAAATTAGGTTCTAGAAGTTACAGAAGCAGATACTTGTTTGAAATCTCCAGAAATGTGTATACTAGGAATTTGAAATTGATGTCAGACTTACTGCCATTGGTTCTATGTGAGCTACAATGAACAATTCTATCTACAATGAACAAAGGTTCTAGATTAGTTTTCCCAGCTGTGAAGCCTCCTTTTCCTCTAGTGGTATGCAAATAGAATCTATCTTAGCCGTAATAGCAACAAAGACCTAAAAGCAAACCATTGTTGATGTGATCATGGAATGTTGTTACTTTGGAACTTCTTCGGCGTTCTTCAGAAAGACCCTGTATTCTAGTTCACACGGAACGAGATCAAGTTTTTAACACACAGCTTACTTTAGAAGAAGCACCTGTTTTTATTCTGCAACAAGTGAAGCAGTTACAAGACTTTTGTTAGGCCATATGCAAATGAGTTCCAAATGGATTATGAAATAGAAAGTTTCCTTAGAGTAAAATTTCTGATGTTTAGTATTTTAAGTTACCTTGAGTCTTACAGAGACCAACTAAAATTGCAAAAAGTGTTATATGAGCCAATCTTCATGTAGTACATATATATGTTTGGTTCATTGATTCTTCTTGGTGTTTAGTATTCTTTTAATGAGTCTGTTGGATTTCCTTGATGCAAATCCTACCAGGTTGGAGTTTTATTCATCTGGAAATACAATGTTACTACTAGATTTCAAGAACATCATACTAAAAATACAAGACATAGTTAATGAATGGTGCATAGATAGCCTTAGATAGTCCTGTCAAAGCCATTGAAAATCTGAAATATCTAGAAATTCACTGTTAAAATATTCATGTTTCTCATGGCTTGCCGTGATAGCCCAGTGGCTAAAAGTCCTCACATTGAATGTGCCACAATCCCATATGGTCACTGGTTCTAATTCTGGCAGCCCCACTTCCCATCCAGCTTCCTGCCTGTGGTCTAGGAAAGCAGTTGAGGATGGCCCAAAGCCTTGGGACCCTGCATCCTTGTGAGAGACTTGGAAGAGGCTCCAGGCTCCCGGCTTCATATTGGCTCAGCTCTAACCTTTGAGGCTGCTTGGGAAGTGAACCTTTGGGCAAGAGATCTTCCTCTCTGTATATCTGACTTTCTAATAAAAATAAATAAATCTTAAATAAAAATAAAGTTTTTTTCATGTTTTTCTGAAGTCTTCAATGAATGCCTCCACTATTCATTGTCTTTTTAATAGTTCTATTTATAACATGTTACAAGTCTGTTCAAAGCACTACATGTCATGCAACTTAATTACTTTTGCATGGAATTGAAATAATACATAAAACAGAGGGATTCTTTTTTGCCTTTAATATTCTGTCAGCCAAAGACTGTGTTCCCATGTCACTTAATGTTACTGCTCTATTAAAATACAGAAGGAGACATTTGAAGTTTTTAGAACATTTTAAATGTATTAATTAGCTGTTAATTCACAGCCCAAACAGAAGGACCTAAATCATAAATCCACATTGTAGCTTCAAGGTTTTTTGTCTTTCAGTAGTTGCTGATTCAGCTACTTCCTGAACAAGATTCTTTATCCAAAATCTCAGTGTATCCTTGAGAAGCTGTGATATCTAATACATTTTTGCTTTTCTCTTTGTTTCTTATATTAAAAATCTTGACATATAATTTTTTTGGAGGAAAAATTTTAACTTAAGATATTTACACATATTGTCCCTTTCAAAGAGAACACTGGGTTTGTACTCATTGTGTTGTTGCATCTCCCATGGTTTGAGTTTGGGGAAAAAAATGAAAATAGAGGACAAACAAGTACAAATATTTTGTATAGTACATAAACTTAATAGAATGATCACCCAAGAGTTGTATTCCTTCTTTGCTGAAAGTGATAAAATTTGCTAACATTGACTGGGGTTCAAGTTCTAATGAATAGGAAAGACAAGTTTTAAACTGGTAGCAATAACATTGATGTATAATACAGTGAATTTGGTTATTGTACTAAATCTAATCATGCTGGATTCCTGCCATTTCAAAAAAAATTACAGCAAAAACTGCAGTATCTTTTGAGATGTAAAAGCTGAAATCCTTGTCCTCTGGGTGTTTTGTGACTTATTTTCCTTCTTTGTCAATTTAAGATTTTGCCAGGGATACTTTGGGATTTCCAACAATGAAATCAAAGAACAAGTATTTCATACTTTGTAGCTGAGACTGTTCTATCCCTGAATTCTGAGAGTAATCTGTTGGTATGTGGTTTAGTGGATTTTTTCAATAAATCAGCTTCATGTAATCAATTACTGCACACACACTATTTAAACAACTAAGTCACGGAGAACAATGCACCAAAAATACAGAATAAAGTGCATTTTGATAGAGTATGTCCCACTAACCAGTTCTTGGTTCCTTGCTTTGATGTTATAGTTTTGGGTATTTCAAAAAATGAAAATTCTTCATTAATGAAGCAGCATAGCAGGTGTTGTACAAAAGTAAAATCTCAGGTCTCTCTCAGTGTGGCTCTCCTACTTGACAACCGGAGGTAGCAGCTTCTCTTGTGTTTGTGTTTTTCATTCCCTGAATGTCTAAGGGTATTCAAGTTTGTGAAAGCATGGAAAGAGGTGTTTTTGTACCTGCACTTAAACACATGTTTGTACATGTAAATTCATTGATATTTCCTGAGTGGTTAAAGTACAGAAAAACCGCATGCTTTTATGATTCCCTAATGTAGTGGGGTTAATTGTAACTTTTGAAAGAGGGGCAGAATTTGGAAAGTTCAGAAGTAGTGATTTAGCAGCAAGTGCAGAGGCACTTGTGTTGTAAGCACTAGCCTTTCTACAGCAGTGTCTAACGAGCAAACCCCAGCCTTTATTTCAGTTACTTCAGAGCTGCAACTTCCTAGAGTGTGCATACAAGGCTCACGTTCTACAGGATCCAAGGGGAACAATGTTAGAAACATTTGTGTTATTTCCTGTGTGTCAATTTTTCATATTTATGAATCCAGTCTCCGAGATCTTATCAGGAGACCTGAAACTCCCTTCAACCACACTATTGCCAACCATTCTCTAAGTTGTACCCCAACCACCACAAACTTAGAGCTGTCAAATTTTCCATATCTGACAGCAGTTACTAATGAAACAACATTACTTTATCAATACTGTACTTCTTTCATTATTATAATATGCAATTAATTCAATGATGACAGGACAGTCACATGACCAGTTTGTATGTATCCTTCTAAGACATGGCACACATAACATACAATGGCACTCAGTGACATTTAAGCATTAATATTTTGGATTTCAGAATGATGTTGTTAGACACACACATATGCAATCTCAGAAAATGCCTAGAATATGTATTTTTAGGTCTTTGAATTTTATGCAGATTTCTTTTTCTGGGTGATAGTTGGCAGACAAAGAGAGATCATCCAATGTAAGATCATGAGTGACAGCGCAGACTGAACCAGGAGATGGGAACTCTATCTGTGTTTTCCACATGACTGGCCATTGCATCACCCTGTCACCACTGGTTAGCAAGAAGCAAAAGTCAGGAGTAGAAGCAGTGATCAAATCGGCCGAGGCATTCTCAAATGGGATATGAACATCTCAGCCTGTCTTCACCATTACCTTCAACACCTGAGTTTCTGCACATTTTTAATGTTATTATTATTATTTCCTTTTGTTTGAAAAGGCAGGAATTCAGTATCTCCCTCAGTTGTCACTATGCTCCCTTGTAATACCAATGCTTCTTTGTTTCTTCTCATGTCTTCCCCACCCAGTTTCTTAGCACATTATTTATTTATAAAGAGAAGATAATGTAATACTTCATTTAATGTGTTTCTAATTTCACTCAGTTATCTCTGCGTCACCAAACTGTCTTCTGTGCTGGTTTCTGTTCTAGGGCATAGAATATATAGTTACTGGTTATGGGCTACCAAATTATTTGCCACACCCTTTCTGTACATTATCTCTTTCAATCTACATTTTATCTCAGTGGTATGCTTCTGATTTTAAAGCATGAAAAAAAGAAAATAGTTGGAAATGTAATCTTTTCACATTTATATAAATGCTAGGATCATGTAACAGGAATATAATTCTAAAGCCCTATGTTGTTACTGCTGCACCATACAAATTCCATCTTAGTAATATTTTGGTGAGATTTAAGTGATATAAGTAGACATGCTTTGTAAGAAGCACTGTTTATATAGGAAATTTTACATGAGTTTTTTTTTTGAAGTCAAACATTAAGGTGAATAATCTGTGCATAATAAGCATTTTAGGTGATGATGATAACAACAGGACTTTGATAAGCAAAATGTTGCAATGTGGGGCTGACACTAGTGTAGCAGGCCGAGCCTCTATGGAGCTGGTATCCAGTTGGTCGCCTGGAAATCCTGTGGGAAACCTGGAGGAGCTCCTGGTTTGCAGCCATTTAGAGAGTGAACTAATGGGTAGAAGCTTTTTCTGTCTCTCCTTCACTCTGTAACTCTGCCTTTCAAAATAAAAAGAAAGTAAGTCACCAAAAAATGCTGCCACTAAAATCTGGTCTTAGCCAGTATTATGCTCAAAACCATGACTGTCAATATGAAGCATTTTTTCTTGGCAAAAAGTTAAATATGTACACATGGTAATTAGATTGTTTTGGAAAACATTATAGGTTATAAAATAACAATCTTTACTGTTTAGCATTATATTTGACATGAAAAGGATCCTTAAAACATTTATGAAAGATTTGTATTATAAGGATACTGTATGTAAATTTCAAATTGTTCTGGTTGCAAACTTTTTGATTGTGCTTTCTGTAGTGTTTTTTTAAAAGCCACTTTGGAGATTGGTGAGAATACTTTGAGATTTTAAATATGGTGTTGTTATTTCTCCAGATCTTCCAGATTGCGTATGTGATTGTGAAAGCAGCTAACTCCCCTCGGCCTGGAAACTGGATTTTGGAGCGTTCGCTTGATGATGTTGAATACAAGCCGTGGCAGTACCACGCTGTGACGGACACAGAGTGCCTAACCCTCTACAACATTTATCCCCGCACTGGCCCACCCTCGTATGCCAAAGACGACGAGGTTATCTGCACTTCATTTTATTCCAAGATTCATCCCTTAGAAAATGGAGAGGTAAGATGAGAAAGTACACCACTGTAGTACAGATAAGATGATGAAAAAGGCCAGGCAGAAAGATTTGAATATATCAGTAATTAATGTCAGGGAGATTTTAAAATTGGATTATGCAGAGGTACATTTTAATGAGTTCTTAACTTAAAAAGTGAAGTGATTAGAGTTTTATCTATCTTCGTGTCTCTCATCTCCCCTGAAGATCAGAGACAGGAAATGAGGTTAAGTTGGAAAGTCAATGATTCAATTTCCTTATGAAGAAATTTTACAGACAATGAGGATTCTAATGATTAGAGAAGAATTGGAGCCCTTAAAGAATACCTTAGGTTTGTGTGGGCTCTTTTCAGAAGATGGAGACAAAAGAGCTGAACTTGTAAAGAAATGGAATCTTTGTGAAGTTCTGAAGTGAAAGAACACCTGTTGGTCCCTGGATGCTGTTCTGTGTTATCCTACGGGGCTCCAATGAGGCTTGTGATTGTGGCTCAGGCTGTCCTGAATGGAGGTGTGCCAACCTGGTTCTATGCTAATTAGAATATATCCTGCTCATCTGGAGTAGTTTGTATTCACTCATTTATTTTAGGGGGGAGGGGGACGTTGTGGTTAGCATTTTGGATACATTCATTGATTTTTTTTAACATTCATTGATTTGTAAGTCACAAATGTGAACTATGCCTTTAAAGTTTCTAGTCATAGGCTCTTGCTCTAGTTACTAAATGTCTTTGAGCGTCAGTTTCATCTCATATACTGCAAAAATAGTACAATTTCTTATCTCATATGCTTGTCAAAAAGATGAAATGAATTCTATAAAAACATTAAGATATTATTGACATGCACATCAAGTGCTCTTTTAAAGGTTTCTTGTAATCATAATAATTATTAATGATTAATAATAATTATTATTATTAAACTGCCAAATAGTGGACACTTCACTTAGTTATTCTGATTTTGGCATTTCTATATTTCCTGAACAGCTCCCCATTTAATGTATGTGACTGAACCTTCTTTAATGCTACCTGCTTATACTCATGTCTGATACCATCTTAGTAGTCTACACGTCTGAGCCTAGTGTCATCTTCTACATTTCCATTTTTGGAGAACTCATTCACATTCTTTCGTATTTGCTGTAGCTAATGTGGCTTTTCATTTAAACAGTTCTGGAAGGAATTTAGGCTCCTGATAGGAATCTGTCACATTTCTTTTTGGCAGTATTATCTTATGGGCAGATACCAGTGCATCAACATATTTCATATTCCCTGTTTAGAAATACTGATTTGGGGGAAAAGATTCCCAGTGGTGCTGTCAGCAGAAATTTCAGGCTGCTAGATGGCAAGGAGTCCAAAGGAGTGTCAAACAGCTGTTCTGCCTGCTGAGTGCTCGGTGATACCCAATTCCTGGGCAGTTTGTCCTGAGGAGGTAGGATTAGGGACTGAGAGTATATCGGTGTATAATTTTGATTCTTTTTCTCCTGGATAGAGTGCTTACCCTGGATAAATAATTCTATGATGTGTTCAAAGCTGTTCTGATCCCCTTTATTTATTTTGTTTTATTTATTTTTTATTGGAAAGTCAGAAATACAGAGAGGAGGAGAGACAGAAAGGAAGATATTCCATCCATCGATTCACTCCCCAACTGGCTGCAAGGGCTGGGGCTGTGCCAGTTCAAAGCCAGGAGCCCAGTGCCTCTTTCTGGTCTTCTACACAGGTGCAGGGACCGAAGGCTTTGGGCCGTCCTTGACTGCTTTTCCAGGCCACAGCAGGGAGCTGGATGGGAAGAGGGCTGCTGGGACGTGTATGAGCACCCATATGGGGTTCCAGTGTGTGGAAGATGAGGACTTTAGCTGCTAGGCTGCCTCAACGTGCCCTGTACCCTTTTATTAATTCATAAGTTGGTTGAACAGTGTAAAAATACAGCCAGGTATATGTGTCATGAAGAACTTGCATGCAAATCTATATCCACATCCTCCCTGTTCGGAATGTAGCTCTCCATCCTACAGGTTCTATCAGTTTGCCAATGTGAACCTGAACATGAATGTGTTTCTCCCGCTGACGCTTGTTTCCACTACCAGATCTCATTCACTAAAAATCACCTAACAGTGCTTCTGCCAATTGATTCTACTTCATGGGAATTTTATTGGAGTCTGTAGAGGAGAAGTGGGTGAAGAAAGAGAATAGCTCAGAATGTTAGAAATAGAATAATAGGACTTAAGAATCAGAATTAAATCCAGATTGCTGTGACATGCTGAGCCCAGTACCAGCTTTTGGAGGCTTCAGGAAAAACTAAAGCAGATGGAAGATTTCCTTCCTGCCCTGATCCCATTCTGCCTTTCAAAAACATGTATACACATGTAGTATTTTTTAAAGATTTATTTTATTTTTATTGGAAAGTCAGATATTCAGAAAGGAGGAGGTTGAGAGAGAGGAATACCCTCTGTGTGAAGATCTACTCCCCAAGCAGCCACAATGGCTGGAACTGCTCCCATCCGACGCCAGGAGCCCAGAGCTTCCTCTGGGTCTCCCACATGGGTAGAGGGTCCCAAGGCCTTGTGTTGTCCTTTACTGCTTTCCCGGGCCATAAGCAGGGAGCTGGATGGGAAGAGGAGCCACCAGGACCAGAACCGGTGCCCACATGGGATGCCGGTGTGTGCAAGCCAATGACCCCAGCTGCTGGGCTACTGTGCTGGACCCACATACATCTTATTTTTTTAAATTAAGTTCCTTTGCTACACCAGCCACCTTTCTGGTCACTTAGCAGCTGTGACCTTGGATTTTGCAACCTGTAACATTTTTCTAATGTTGCACTGAGTTCTGTGAGAAATACTACTCCAGGTTATACCTTTTTATTTTCTTGAATAGATTTCCTTTCATTTTGATGTATCTTCATTGTGAATTTTTTACACACTTTAAGAAATAATTAAGCCAATAACTCTACAAAAAATACTTCTTCATACTGTTTCCTCTGTAATTCCAATTTGAAATACCTTGCAATTTCTTATTGCATACACTAAATATCTTATACTTTGTAGCTTTCATCCGTTTGTTTTTATTGTTATTCCAGCTATTTCCTTTTGGCCTACTTCTAATTCTTTAATTCTCTCCTCAGCTATGCAAAATCTAAACTGATTAACAGAAATATTAATGTTAATCTGTACTTCATATTCTAGTTTTATTAGGTTCATTTTCAAATAGGTTGAAAGTTACAAATTCAATATTAAAATGTTATATTGACTTTAAAATTTTAACTGACCAATATATCTTATAAAATTTCAGTGTTTTATTGTATTTTTTTCTTCTGTAGGCACACAGGAAACATATTTAATGGTTGTCAGTTGATGATTCTAATATCTGGCTCTTATATTTCATTGTTTCATCTGTAGATTCTTTTCCATTTTACATCCTCATTTGCCTGTGCAACAGAGTTCTATTTGACAAAGTATGTGTAGAACTACTTGGTAGTATTTTTGCATTAATATTCTGTGATGATTCAACTAGATATGAGAAATCTTAATCACTTTAAATTAATGGGAAGCATTCAAATTTCTGGGTCTTCAGACAATTCGAAAGTGCAATTTCACTCAGTGATAACTTCATCCATTCTCGTATCCCCCTGTTCTTGAGCTGCCTACGTCTGGAGTCTAAGCCAGTGTGTGTGGGATTTACCAAAGTCCCATCCATAAACGTCCTGGAATTCAACTTTTTCTTCCTAATGCAGCAAGGCTGTCAGTTGCACTGTCAGTTGCACTGCTTTGCCTTTCAGCCCTGTCTGGGAAGAAAAAAGCCCACGGGACAGCGTACCAATCACATCCCTAAACATCTTCCTTCTCTTTGAAGTTGACACGGTTATTGTTTAATCTTCCTGTTAACTCATAGATGGTTTATTCAGTTTGTCAAAATGTTCATTGAGATTATTGGCCCTAATGATCTAATCTGCAAAGAGAGGCGAAGTTGTGTTTTCATTTAAAAAAAGAAGACGATGACTAAGAAGCTTTACGTAAGTGTAAGGAGTGTTTAGAAATATCCACAGCATGTTTGCTCAGCCTTATTGTAAGGATAGCATAGAGCAACACTATATTGGTGCGAACAAAAAGTTAGTGTTGGTATCCTGCCATTAACCACAGATGGTATTCAAGTTCTGTTACTTTTGTTATTTGAAATTCAACTCTGTTATTTAATAGTATTTAGTCATGTTTTTTTTCCAGTCCCTCTGAGCGTTTCAAAAGATACTTAGCAGATATCTAGACATATTTTGTAGCCTATTGCTTAATTTAGGTTTGCTGATATTTTCTCACAATTAAGCGGTTTCTGGGTTTGCAGAAAGAACACCACAAAATAAACAGCTTTATCTTGACATCATTTGTCTGTTTTACTATTCACATATCTTCTGTGAGTTTCCTTTCTATTGCTTGATTTACACTTCCAGATTCACTTTAAGTTTGGACAACAGCTTCCAAATATGTCTAATATGTATTCTTGCCTAAGAGTTGACTGATCCCTTTTTTCCAATCCTATGCGATATTCTTTGGAAACAAATTTAAGTCAGAGATAAGAATAGTTAGGATATATTAAGGACCAACCATGAAGTGAAGAATTATGATAAAATTTTCAGTTACATTAAACATTTAGGTTTAAGCATATAACAATAAAAGAAAATATCTGTGTAATGACTAAATCTACTGAGTGGAAAGTTGTGTTTTTTTTTTTTTTTTGTCAGTTGACTACAGAATTTTGAAGGCATTGTACCAAAACTTTTATGACATCCTAAAGTGCTATATTTCAGTAAGAATTGTATCATTTTTGAGCTGAAGTTTGCCCTTGGTCAGTTCTTCATTGATCTGTCGAATGGTCCCCTAGGCTTGACTTCTGTGTCTGCATCAAACATTCTCCGTTGCTTATCTCCCATGCTATCACTGGAGAGCGTACAGTTTTTTTTTTCCTTCTTGTCTTTTTTTGGTTATTTGTTTTTCATTCATTTACTTTTTAAGATTACTTACATTTCATTTTGTGACA